TCAACGGTCGCGGTGACAAAATATAATCCGCGATTGTTACAAAATTAGGAAGTAAAAACTCCGCCTTGTTACTGAGTTTCCAGTCTCTATTGAGTTTCTTTTATTAAATAAAAATAAATATTAAAATTATTCCATTAGAAAAAATCCGACTTTGCCCGTCTCTAATCACGCGTAGGTAAATACTCATAGAATGACAATAAAAAAAAATTAACATTGAATTACCACGAGGAATAGTTTCACACATTTCATGCACATTCAATCGATGTTTTTGTGCATATAAACGATTGTAACACCATTGATACTCTACGTGGTTACAACTGATTGCGAATTCAAATAATGGTCGAAGATTAGCAAGTATATTCTTGAAATGGGCATACCAAATATTCAACAAACGACTACAGAGGGAGGCGAGCTACACAAAACTCTGGAATGTATTTAACAGACGTCTTACGGAGTTGTATATTGTACGATTAAAGCACTTACCAGTTTTTAATTTTACCGTAAGACCCCCGTTGGAAAAATCCTGGCTGAGCGCCTCAAGTTCCTTAGACTTTCCTTTTGGTAAGTTACCTTGAGTAATTCAAGGTCCAATGCAACAAGCATGCAACTAAGTTTGTTGTTCATAACATCAGACGCCTCGAGAATGGAAAGCTCGAAGTTTGTCTTTCATTGCGCTATACTCTTCGTGAACACGAAGGTTTGTAAAATAATCGTTTATTATGCTCTTTTTCAGAATACACTTTCAATAATACATACATAACTTTTTCTTGTGGTAATTACTTATCGATTTTAATTGGTAAGTATGTTGATAGGTATTTGTCTGTTAGATGCACGCGATATCTCACGAAAGCGAGGTTGAATCTGCTCCAAGTTTTGCATGTGCATTCATCATAGCTCGGATCAGAAGCCTATTGATTTTCGATGAATCATGTCGTATAATTAGTGATAGGACACACAGTGTCACTATGGAATGAGAGCGCTGTTTTGGGGGATCCCCTAACCTTTGATCGATAAGTCTTCGGTCTCCAACCGATATTCTCGTTATCGTATTGCTCGAGTCTCGTTGAATTTTGTGAGATTTTGACTCGGCCACAAGGGGAAGGCGTTGATGCATGACTGGTCAGAATAATAACAGCCTGAGGTAAATGGAGGATTGCCGCTTTTTTCAACCTTCTCTATTTTGTGGGTTAGATTGCGGTCAAATCATACCGAGGTTGACTAACTATTCAATATTGCTCTTGATCTTGACATTGCTTTTCGGAGCTTCTGACTTCAAAACTTAACAAATCTAGTTGCTTCTAAAGCGTGTGTTCAACCGCCATATGTCGCCTCCCCATGTGTAGTCTCAAATTACTCCCGCAACAAGTTTATATTAAATTAGGGATATTCGAAATCTTGCAAAGGCAGTTTATTTTAAATGTAACAGAGATTTAACGCTATAGTAATAGCTTGGGGTAGATTTAATGCTATAGTAAAACTTACATTTATCTATATAACAAGAGAGCTATGCTCAAATATATGGACACGTTTGAAGTAAATGAAAGTAATAGCCATCTGAAGGAAAATTTTACCTTGAAGCAATGAAAATTTCAGAGCAATTGATCCAGTAATGAAAGAGAAAAGCGATTTTTAGGTTTAGGTAATTGGGCGTGGCTTTCCACACGTTTTCACACCTCTGAGGGGACGGAAACACCCCAATGCCAATTGAAAAATTCCCAATACTCGGGCAAACGCTTTTCCGCCCCGAGACGGAATTTAACGGCTTCTAAACGCCAAAATCACTAGCCACGTAGCCAGTCTAGCGTGACTTGATTGACAGGTAGCCTGTTCCGGGCCACTAAAAGGCTGTTTTGGGACCACTTTCCTTTGACCGACTGTTCTGAAATTTTTTCTGTGTCAGTTTTGTAACAGTTCCTGGGTTCCAGAGAACTGACTGGCGGATCGGCCTGCCAGTTTTCTGGGAAGTGCTCAAAGCCTTACCAGTACCGGTTGTGGAACGGTTCGTTTCTTGGCATATTAAACTCAATTCAATTTGCTCTCATCAAAATTAACAAATACGGTAGGCTAGATTTGCTAGAAAACCTACATTACTGCAATAGTAAGATCGCGTGAGGAATAAGTCAATTCTACTGTGGTACGGTCACTTAGCAAGTTTCAAAACAGTTTTCCCATGAGTAAATTTTAAAACAGCGAAATTTTGAATGAATAGTCGTATTTCATAGGATTCATAGAAAATTTAAAAATGAATGAAAGTAATAGCCTTCTGGATAAAAACATCAATCTTTAGCCACTAAAAATTTCAAAGCAATTGGTCCAGTATTCGAAGAGATTTCTTCAAAACGTGTCAAAGAACAACATAACAACAAAACGATTGTTATGTCCACTACGTGTCCAAAATGGAATACGATTGTTGCAACTAATACAATTATTCATTCCGAAACAGGTCGTGTAAGTACAACTCAGTTGGGTATGTCGTATAGGAAAAACACATTAACATTAATAGTAGACCTGAAATTTCCACTAAAAACAAGACAACGAAGCTAAAGTACGTGGGAACGATCGCGATTTTTTTTTCATACATTAGCAATACAATCCATAAGACCATATCGTGCTCAATACATTCTTTGTGGTGGTAGAGACATTGGTTTCAGTTGCTATTCTAGTTCATTATTACCATGGATTTATTCCGTGATTTTGGAAATTTATACTTATCGACGATATTTATTTAGGGCAGTGGTTTTCAACCGGATATTAGTACAGCCCCGTGATGTTTCGTAAGTTTAAATCAAAATCCTAGAGTCTATATTTTTTTTCGAATAATCAAATACCTATTAGGTTTGCAACTATTATTTGACTTGCTACACTTATAGCTCGTTTGTTTTATGTTTGCTATTACAATTCATTAAGCTTTGAAGTCCCGTCATGTCGCATCAATCTCTTCGCTTTCGCAAAATCAATGGTTCAACAAATATTGATAAATCACTCTTATTATGTTCGAACGTTTCATCAAAACAATTGCTTGGAATTTAACAAACATTGGAATCCAGTTAAACTCATCATTTACAATATTTATTGTGAACAGATCTGGAATCAAAATACCTTACTACCAGACATTTTGATTTCTGCTATTGGGGTTGGTTAGTTACATTATCCTGCTATCTCCGAAAACGCTCACCAATAATCGCAATTGGACAATTTACGCAGCACAGCGCTAAGCGGTATGTTACTTCAAACAGCTTTAGCGCTTAAATCCTCGATATTGCGGCGCACATACACGCTTCATTGGCTCGACCCCAGACATTTAGGGTTGTTTCATTTTATCGATCAGACGGATGGAGTGTCACGTTTCCTATTCTCCGGTTTATCGGCCAACATGGACCGACCGCAAATTGTATTGCCCTTGTAGAGGTCTCATTGATTGGGCTAAGTAGCCTAAGTATTGGGATATTTGAATGACTAATACCAATCTCCAATAAATGAACTGTTAATAGATCGGATTTTAGATGAAGCAAATACCATAAATAGTATCGGGATACATTAGTGGTGGTTGATAATGGTCTACGGCTATCGCTAACAAACAGAAACGATAAATGCGAGAAATCTTGTGTTATTTTTTTCCGTTTTTCTTTCTGCGCATATCATATTCCAATTTTTCATCAAGCGCGTCAACACCTTTTTTCGTAAATTTAGAACGCGAAACCAGATAAGTAAGACTGGTGATTATGTATTCGATGGAAATCTCTCGAGATATTGGGGAAAAATATTATTTTGAGATTGACCACATAGAAGTGCTCATTATTGTTGATTTTTTCAAGTATTTAGTATCAGTTTTCTAACCCAAAACGGGTAAAGTGGATACTCAACCACGAGTATTCAAGAGATTGCCGATTTGCAGAGTTTTTTGTTACTATTTAATACGAAAGTAACATGGACACGAAATAAAATTTAAAGCATAAAAAAAGTCAAATATCGCATCCCAGGGTCAGTTATGATAATATTGTTCGCTTAAAATTGGGACCATAATTTGCAAACTGTGATACAAATCATACACAGAACATGCAAATCAGAATAAAATTAATTTGTGTTGTGAATTCACTCTTTATTAGCTGTCTTTAGCCCTTTCCATGCGGTAGGCACGTATACGTACCAACGACAAAAGTCGCTAGATTGCGGCGGGTATGTTGATGTACTCCACTGTTTTATTTAGCAATCGGTCGCAAACTGTTGGTCATAGTTTTTCCGGGTTTTAGTTTATTGATAAGAAGTCTTCTTCGAGATTAACATAAGCGACGGTAAATCTCGCTTTCGTTTACGACGGGAATTTTATTTGCGGCGGAACGAGGGAGTGTTTTTGAAACTTATGCAAATTTCGGTGTTTTTCGGGTGGTAATAGAAGACACATTATCCCTTCCATCTACCAAAGTATTTTGAGTTAGATCACGAAATTGCTACAGCAATATTATGCTATTGTTTGCCAACCACGAAGCGGTAACAGTAAAGGATTTAGCAAATATTTATATTCACGGTTTGAAGTTTCAACTCCCAAGAAAAAAAATGCCTTTTTTCTATCCGGTTTGTGACTCAGACCACCACTTTTAAAAAAACTTTTTTTTTTCAATCGCCAATTGCAAGCTCTTTAAATAAGCTTAAACAAGCCGTCAGTGGGCAGCAGAGGATCATTAGTTTTTCGTTAGTCGATCGATTAGTTGTGGGGGTACAAATGCATAAAATCGGCGTAGCAAATACGATTATTTAATAAAAAATAAAAATCGCATGGAAAGGATTAACATCTACGCCGATGTGAACTCACAAGTCTAGCCGAAATATAAAAACTAAACTACCATATCCACTGTTGAGTAATAATTACTAGTGAATAAAAAAGAGCTTTAATATTGGCCGGCCGACATCCCAATCAATGTCGGTTCAATTGACAATGTTGTGAGGTCATCGTGATGCTAAAATACATGCTTAACACACACAATTGAAAAATTTACATTTCCAAGTCAATAAGACACTACAGTCTACAAGATTTACAAGTTGAGTTCGGTAATACTTTGCTGTTCAACATTCCAAATATAGGGATGGGGGCTGCATCACTACACTAACCAGGAGGAAACCATCAAATCTCTTCCACACGATTACCTCAGTTGTATAGCAAAAACTACTGTTCCCGAGTGAACCGAAATACTTTTGCACGCATCGGCCACATGGGATGTGGCATATATGAATCAGCGATAAGAGCATGTTTCTATCAGTCTGGGCAGGTTATAAAGTTATTCGTCATCTAATTCTGTGTACAACTCTTCCTTGATTTTAAATACTTGAAGTGTTCGGGCTTTATTCGGTGATATCTTTTTGTTTTGATCGATCTCGTAAGACATAACGCTGGTCTCTGAATATACGTGATCAGTTTGTTCCTGCCCAACTTTGTCTGTAATTGAGATATTTTTGAATTTCGAATGAGTCCGTCCCATGTGTCTCTTGACATATCTTTTAACGGCAAATCTCTTCCCGCATATCTCACATGCATACGGCTTTTCGTTTGAATGTGTTTGCATGTGAATATTTCGATAACTGTTCTGACTAAATGCCTTCCCACACAATTCACAGATAAACGGTTTTTCACCTGTGTGTGTACGCATATGGATATTCAGTTCCCATTGTTGCACCTTGATGACGCCACATATATCACATTTGAATTGATATTCATTAGTATGTCTTCTCATATGAATCTTTAAATTACATTTGCGTGCGAATAACTTATCGCAAATAGTACATTCAAACATTTTCTTCTTTGTATGTGTGAGTATATGATGAGTAAGGTAAGCCTTGCATCCACATGATCGCCCACAGATTTCACACACAAACATCTTTGCTGTTAGATTTTTTTTACCAATATCAGAAATGCCTTTCCCACATTTTTCACATTTATATTTTCTTTCTCCTGTATGTTGCTTCATGTGAATAGTCTTATTCTGCACATCGCTGAGTACTTTCCCGCAAACTCCACATTTTTGTTGATTTTGTGGCTGATCGAAAAAATGAAATCTCAGGTGGGCTCTTAAATAACTATTTTGTGTAAATCCTTTGCCACAAATTTCGCACTTATGTGGTCGTTTTCCAGTGTGTTTCGTTTGGTGGTTTCTGAGATGACTGATCCAACTAAAATTTTTACCACAAATACCGCATTCCTGCAACTTACTTTGTTTAACTATTTTCCGGTGCTTTTGTGTCTCATTCGGAAAGTGCATCGCAAATGGCGTCCCAAGTCATTTTCCGTGTAAATCCTTGCCACAAATTTCACACTTATGTGGTCGCTCTCCGGTGTGCGTAAGTTGGTGGTTTCTGAGATGTCCTATCCGACTAAAACTTTTACCACAAATACCGCATTCCTGCAACTTACTTTGTTTAACTATTTTCCGGTGCTTTTGTGTCTCATTCGGAAAGTGCAATCGCAAATGGCGTCCCAAGTCATTTTTCCGTGTAAATCCCTTGCCACAAATTTCACACTTATGTGGTCGCTCTCCGGTGTGCGTAAGTTGGTGGTTTCTGAGATGTCCTATCCGACTGAAACGTTTACCACAAATACCGCATTCCTGCAACTTACTTTGTTTAACTATTTTCCGGTGCTTTTGTGTCTCATTCGGAAAGTGCAATCGCAAATGGCGTCCTAAGTCATTTTTCCGTGTAAATCCCTTGCCACAAATTTCACACTTATGTGGTCGCTCTCCGGTGTGCGTAAGTTGGTGGTTTCTGAGATGTCCTATCCGACTAAAACTTTTACCACAAATACCGCATTCGTGCAACTCACTTTGTTTATTCTTTTTCATTTTAGTTACTGATATCTAAAAGTATTTCATCAGAACATTGAATAAAAAGAAGCTGGCTACAATATATATAAATATACCAAATAATGCCTCCTCATGTGCAATATCTATCTAAGATAATTTATTCACAAATAGAAGTGGGGTAAGAAATAAGTCATATAAGATACGGTACAGATAAATAGGAGTATGCGGAACTGTTATACAAATTTTCCCGAAATCAAATTTGAAAACAACTGACTCTTTGATCATTTAATAAGAAAAGGAACCATCGATTGAAGAGTCTTACGGATACAGTTTGAGTTTACTGTAAAAGGCCTCTACAATTCGAAATTTAAATTCCAAGCATTATGGATTAAGCTGCATTGTGGCAACTACCCGCCAGGAATCACCATCTTTCAGTTCGTATCGGAATCAATGTAATAGAACTTCGCTTGGTATTGAAAACGCACTTTACTGTAACAAATAATAACTATCCCAGGGCCTCTAGTGATACTTGAAGTCCGCACTAAAGATATCTCTAGCTATCGAGGCAAAATTGCCGACTTACAACGACACGACAGGGTTGCCAAAGTTCATTGAGCGCTGCGCGTCTCGTCAGCATTCATGCGTAAAGAATATGCTGCGACTAATGATTAAAACATGTTCACTAAAATTCTGAAGCTCACCCAGTTTATGGATAATCGAGATATAAGACGACTCGTTCGAAAGTGTATTTTCTTTCGCGGATGGTAACGTTCTCGGAATTTTAATTTTCGACGTGTTGTGTCCCTGACACTGACTAATGAACTATACAAGAATCCAACTTGATAGAAACATCAGTTTAATGAAAACAAACAATAACAACGCTTAGCAAGCAAACTTATAACAGCGTACCGAATCACTAATGTCACATGAGGTTCTACAAGAATGATGCAATAGTAAACACTTAACGCCAGCTAGTGGAAACATAAAATACATGAAAAGTCAATACACAACATCTTCCCTCCTTCCTGAAAAGAAAAATTTATTTTTTCAACCTAACTCATAGTCTTGTAGATACGATGGAAGTCTTCGGTTTCTAGAAGGATTTCGTCGTGCGTTTCTTGGACTTTGTCTCAAATTAGGAATATCTTCATTATTAAATCCAAAAGTCTCCACATGAAAATCATTTTCGTTTTGGAAACTATGTTGATAGGAACGTACAAGTCTTCTTGCATTCCACATTGAACCATCTTCTAATTTATAAGTTGCAGGTCCAACTTTCCTTGTAATTTTGTGAGGATTCGACAAACTTGATTTGAACTTGTGACCTCGAATTGGTCTTTTTATTCGAACCCAATCTCCGACTTTAAATATAGGTACTTTTGCATGTCTTTTATTATCTGTGTACTATTTTGACTTTTGTTGACGAATTGCAATTTCTTTTTGCATTTTCGGAATGTCAATATTTGTTTCAGTATTCGAAGGTTTAAGACATTCTAATGACAATCTCATTTTCCTTCCAGTCATCAGTTCTGCTGGAGATTTTCCTGTTAAAGCATGAGAAGTAGCTCTGTAGTTTTGTAGAAATATTTAAATAGCTTTACCAACTGTCTTCCCTTCTCTCAAATGAGTTTTTAGTCCTTCCTTTAGAACTCTGTTAAATCTCTCTGTGATAGAGTTTGAAGTAGGATTGTACAAAGCACATAATTTCTGTTTTATGCCATGTTTTGCAAGAAAATGTTTAAACTCATAGGATACAAAAACAGAACCATTATCAGAGGTTATAGATTCAGGAATTCCCCATCTTGCAAATAATCCTTCTAATATGTTTATTAAATATGTGGATGTTACATTAGATGTCAAAGCAACTTCAGGCCATTTGGAATGTAGATCATTTATACCAACAGCAAATCTATCTTTCACAGGTGCAATTTGCATTTCTCCAAATACATCAATTGAAATATCTTTCCAAGGCTCACTAGGCCATGGTATTGATTGAAGTGGTGGTTCGGCAGGTTTGATCGATTTCCCACTCATTGCACAAGGTTGACAATTACGAACAAAATCTTCGATTTGTGCATTCAATCTCGGCCACCATACATTCTCTCTGCACCTTTGCTTCATCCTGACCATACCAGGATGTCCACTGTGTGCCATTTCTAGGACTCGTCTTCTCAGTTGACTTGGAATTATAGCACGAGATCCTCTTGCAAGGCAAACATCATTCCAGACACTTAATTCATGTCTCAATTTATAAAATACAGCAACATCTGGTGAAATTGGAAAAGTCCACCCATTTTGTAAACATTTTACAACTTCTTGAAACACTGGGTCAATTTTAGACTCTTCTTTCAGGTCTTCTTTGGTAACCAAACCATCTAGGTTAATTTCAAATAAAAGTTAGTAGTTGCAAGAAAAGATTGTAACTCTTTCTTATTTTTAGGCATGGGAATATTCAAAATAGATTCAACATTTGACTCAAGTGGTAATACACCAGAACCAGAAATTTTGTAACCAATAAAATTAATACAATTTTTAGAAAATTGACACTTATCCACATTCAATGTTAAATATACTCAGCAAGTTTTCTGAGAACTTTATCAAGCTTTTCATCATGGTCTGCTTGATTTATACCATGCACAATTACATCATCAATATTATTGACTGTGTTTTCACAATCTTTCAAAATCATGGACAGAATTTTTTGAAAACAAGAGGGCGCTGAACATAAACCATAAGGTATTCTTTTATACTGATATATAGAATCATGTGTTATAAAAGCAGTAAGATACCTTTTATCTTTAGCTAATGGCACTTGTTCATAACTTCGACGCAAGTCAAGTTTCGAAAACACTGTAGAGCTATGAAATTTTGATGTGAGCTCTGTCATTGTAGGTAATGGATATTTATCAGGTATTATTGCCATATTTACTTGTCTGAGATCCACACATAGACGAATCTCATTATTTTTCTTAGGAACAATCACAATATTAGAAATCCATGGTGAAGTTTCAATTTTTTCAATAACATCTTTATCTTCAAGCCTTTTCAATTCTGTAGACACACTAGCACGAACTGAAAGTGGTAACCTTCTCAGTTTTTGAGATATTGGTTTGACTGTACGATCAACCATGGGATCATGTTGGAATTTTGACACTTTACCTAAGCCAGTAGATACTTTAGCATACTTAGCACGAAAATCAATAGAATTCACAGTAGCACCATTACATGTAACTTTAAAATTCAAACGATCAAACAAATCAACTCCCATAAGACTAACTCCCTTTTTAGTTACAAAAAATGAAAATACATCAATGGTCTCATTTCCATACTGAATATTAGGTAAATCAATAACCCCAATACTTTCAATAGATGACCCCCCATATCCACACAATTTCTGGGTTGTGGGCTTAAGCTTATACTTTGAAAACAATTTTCTATACATGGTTTCATTCATTATTGAGATTTTGGCACCCAAACCAATTAAAAGCTTGGTTTCTATACCATCAATCACTAAAGAACAATGTTTAAAAATACCATGAACAGAATCACTGTTATTTTTAACAGAAAATACATTTTGCACATCATCACTTTGTTTTTGTGATGGCAACACTTGTCTTGTAGCCTTTTGTTTCAAAGACCTACACATTTCCATGAAATGATTTCTTTTGCCACATGCATGACAAATACGATTTTTAGCAGGACAATTCCTACTATATGAAGCATGAGAATTTGATCCACAACAAGTACAATGTTGTTTAGCATATGATGAATTTGCTTTTTGATTTTTCCATTGATTGTGATATCTTTGCCTTTGAATTCCTTGCACAATAGGATTTTCTTCTTTTTTGACTTTTGGTTTTCCATTGAAATTGGTTTCTTTCTGAATACGATGTGATTCTTCTTGAGCAGTTTCAATTTGACAAGCCAGTTTTACTGCTTGATCCAAAGTCAGTGTATCAGGTTCCATGAGCAACCTTTCTCTAATTCTTGGTGAGATGGTGTGTTCAATTATTTGACCACAGATCATATCATCTGACATATCTGCAAAATTACACTCTGACACTATTTCTCTGAGTGCAGCGACATATTCTATTATTGACTCACCAGCATGCTGTTTTCTATTCCAAAATAGATGTCTTTGCATTTTTACACTGTCTTTTTTACCAAACTGCTTTTCTAGAGCAGCAACTGCTTGTTCATAAGTATCTGTGTCTGATAACGAAGCAAATATTCTTTGGCCTTCAATGCCTAAACAATGCAGTAGAATTGCACGTTTTTTATCAGCAGATACATTTTCCTGATCAAGTCCAGTAGCTTTCATATATGTTTCAAAGCTATTGTACCAACGTTTCCAAGGTACTTGTGGTTCACCTGGACTTTGCAAGAAACATTGCGGTGGTGGTAAATGTAATTCAGCCATTTATCACACTTTTCTTCTCTTCCAAAATATGACGTCACCAGTACCGGTAGTCTACTACCGTAATTTGCCTGTTTTCACTATGTCGTATTTTCAACGACTTTTCGAAAATCACCAATCCTCGTCGCCAATCTGTTGTGTCCCTGACACTGACTAATGAACTATACAAGAATCCAACTTGATAGAAACATCAGTTTAATGAAAACAAACAATAACAACGCTTAGCAAGCAAACTTATAACAGCGTACCGAATCACTAATGTCACATGAGGTTCTACAAGAATGATGCAATAGTAAACACTTAACGCCAGCTAGTGGAAACATAAAATACATGAAAAGTCAATACACAACACGACGTAATTTATCAAATGCGTGGAATTTAACGATATTTGAAATCAGAAAATCTCAGCCAGACTACCGGTCTCCAGGTCTTATGTACTTTCTTACCTGAATAACTTCTAGTGGGCGTGGCGTAACAATTTTCGAAAATATTATTCCTGACCCCCACCTGATTACGTCATCAAAACAATTACGTCACTGCGACGTCACAATAACGAAATACAGCTTGCCAAAGTATAGCGACGGTCACCCGCAATGGCGCCTGCGAGTATGTTAACAAATTC